ATAGCCGAGGAAAGTATTCTTGCTTCTTTATATATGGTCCACGTTACGTAAATTGACAGGATAATGCCAGGAACCTAGAAGAGCTGCTAAACTCCTTTGTACCCAAAATATATTTTTTCCCTCATAATCATCAGCCCCAGTCCTGATGTTTAATGTTATATAGCAAACGAATATCCAACATATATTACCTGGTATCGACCTGAGACAGCATCAGTTATACGACAATCTGAGCTTCCTAGCAAAATTGGATGGAATTTGACCCAATAGAATCCTTCCTCTTTTTTCCAATGAGATCTGCCTTCAAATATCTTTGCGCTTTATCCGTATATCTTCTCGAACATCTATGCCCTTTGCCATAAAATAAGTACCAGTTTAACATTAATATATCCTATATATGAAGACGAAGACGGTGCGGAGATGTGTTTGGTCGCAGTCTCCTTTCGCTTTATAGTGTTGGTTTGACCTCGTTTTCTCAAATTGCTCGGAGTGTCAGGGAGACTTTGTGGAACGTGCTTAGTCCTGCATCCTCTGCCATTGTGTTCATGATTTCTAGCACCGGACCATTGACTTGGTACATACTCAGACGTTTCGTCAGAATCGTCAGTGAAAGGCACTATCGTTAGCACAGAGTTACAACTTATCCAAGTGACAAGTAAAGGCAATCCCCTTGGGCAATTTTCTGTTAAACCAATATGGCATTACTTCCCACCCTCATTACTTGAAACCGGTAGTGAATATGATTACGCTCAATAAATCCAGTTGTATTGACACACTCTTTGGCTATATTCAAGAAAACGAGAATAATGAATAGTGTGAATAGTTAAATAGATCATATTAAGTAGGGTTGAGAGAAACAAATAAAAATACAAGAGGCAACATCAAAAAATAGGGATGATGAGTGATGTCACAACGGGTGAACAGAAAATTTGTTGATGGGATGGCCTTTACTTGTCAATTATGTTGCGAAAACAAGGTCAGACCAACACTAACATTAATATCTGACGATTTGTCAAAACTAATCTTTTTATCTATACTTTATATACAGATAATTTTTAAAAATGTTTATTTCCTTAGAAATGGGTTGACCTCGTTGTCGCAACTTGGTCTTGTGTTCAGGGTGACTATATCGAACGCACCGAGTCCGAAGTCGTCTGCCATAGTAGTTGTCTTGATTACCAGGATCTGACAGTGGACTAGATACATTCTCAAACGTTTCGCCGGCATCGTTGTCGGCATCATCAGTGAGCCTTGCCATTCTCCGCACCAAGATACGAACTCGTTAAAGAGACAAGTGAAGTACCTCGACAACCGTTCTGCTCGAAACGGCTACACTATCACACCTCTTTCTGTCCTGGCCTATATATCTACTCTTTACCCTCTTATCCCACTGCCGCCCTATCACAACTTCTCACTTGTTTACATTCTGCTCATCAAAATGTGTGCCCTTTTGTGGCAAACCGAGTGTGGCCTCATCACACCTACGGCAGTGGGATAAGAGGGTAAAGAGTAGATAGATAGGCCAGGACAGAAAGAGGAGTGATAGTGTAGCCGTTTCGAGCAGAACGGTTGTCGAGGCATTGACTTCACTTGTCTCTTTGACGAGTTCGTATGTTGGTGCGGAGAATG